CTTTTCAACGCATGAGAATGTCATTACATGATTTTTATCTCCATACTTTGAGGCTATGTTTAGTAGCTAGGACAAGGACCGGGATATGATAGGGTTAGGTGTGATAAGAAATTCTCTGATTGTAGATATGGACAAATTTTAATCTCATTAAGTGTTTATTCCATCTAAGATAGAATTGAAGAAAATTACAAATAATTCAATTAAAATTTCTGAAAAGGCCAAGAACACCCTAGATCTAACTGTGGTTGGCAAACGTAATGACCGCCTGTCTCCTCGAAAAGAATAAAAAGAGATAAGGGTTCGTTTGGCGACTGTAGGTGGTTGCTAGTCGAACCACCATTGCGGTGATGGTGGCATCAAGTTGTGACCGGAATCTCACGGTTCCTTTGCTTCTTTTCCATTAGTCTTTTTTCATCTAATCCGGGTACTCTCTCAGCCTTTAGTCCTGCATTTTTCTATCAAACTTTTTGTCTGGACATATTTCGGTATCTTCCATCCGATGGAAGTTGCCAAACATGATCACTATAAAAATTATCCTAACTGGGCTGGCAAACGCAGCCTAAGTGTTTGCGACACGAGAATAGTAATTGGTACACTTCGACCCATTTATAAAATCGATCTACAGACTAATTGGTTGGGTATTGAATGTCTATTTGCAGTTTGTCATATTATTTAGCACGTCAATTTTGTGAATGCATCATCATTTTGCGGAGGGCGAAAATCAATACATCATCCCAAGAGCAGAACAAACTAATTGATGAAGCTGATCAATATGTATGTTCAATTCAGCGTCCGATATGGACATAACCCTTGAAATTCTTGTGTTTTTAGGCACATAGAGGGCAACAAGGACGAAAGAAAGAAACTACCAAGCTAAGTCCTTACTCGTATGTTTTTTGGGCTTGGATGTCATTTGGTTGAATCCCACACACCTGGCCAGGATTTCCTCAAAATCTTCTTCCTCACAACAAGGAATCTGAAGCCCGCCCTCCTGCTCGAACCCGACCTCCTCGGCCACCCGTTCCATCAAAGTCCTGAACTCCGGCGCCGACAAGTAGCTTGCCGGGATCACGAACCTCCTGAGCTTTGGCCCTACGTACACCGCCAGGTACCCCTTCGGCACTCTTCCCGGTGGCCTCCTGTCGTCCCAGAACTCCATGGTGAGCAACGACTCTCTTGAAGTGTCTCCTTGCAATTTTCTGGATGCATGAGGAGGCTGGTGGCGGCGATGCTGTGGAGGTGACCGTAGCCATTGCTTGAACATGTTCTTGGGCCACACGCCAACTCGATGGTTCTTCATTCTGTCAAAAATTGCCACAATCCAGAACAGTCACGCAAATCTCGTCCTAAGAAAGAAAATGTCCATGCCACACCGCGAAATGTATTCTCGAAGTATCACGCAACCCGAAGAGGACTACCGCCACAGGGAAAACAACCGTGCCATCTATACGAAAACATGGGCACTCTGTCTTCGGTAAATATGAAAGGGTCATCAGAATGGGGAGAGGTTAGAGAGGAGCCGGTGTTTCGGTCCAATCCTAAGGGAAGAACGAGAAGTAGTGTAGAAAATTGTTCGATTAACCATCGACTCCGGCGTTTCTGCTTTGTCCGTGAAGAAAAGAACGGTTAGCGGACAACCAAATCCAGCCCGTAAATGGCCAAAAAAAGTGTTGGAAACTACGTCCCTGAAAATTCTCACTCTTCATACTGTCCTGAAAACGAACAGCAGCGACAAGTATAATAACAACGTGTGGCAACCTACGTTTGGCGCGCCATTGTTGGCGGCACGCAAGCTATTTTGACGCATGGTGCCCTCTTTTAGGCTGCTTTGTTGGACACACTCCAACGTTCTTTGAGCTCGTTTTTCTGTTGTTTGTCTTTGGCTTGCTATTTTCGGCTGGGGTTTTGAGCTGTTTTCTCTTCATTTTACGTAGCGACAATACAGACGACATGTCGATGCGGGTTCATCGAAAGGTGCATCGAAAGGTGCATGAATTCTCTTTCGCGTTCATATTTCCTCAACCGGCATATTCTGGCCTAGGATGATCCGGGTGTTTTCGATTTTCGGCTGGTGGACTGCGTTGTTGGTACTTTATTGTCTCTCCCAACATTCAGACAGTATGAAGCATGACACAGCAACTGTTTCTTTTAATATGAATTTCTACATACCATAAGCCACGGAGCAAACTGTAAAAGCTTCTTTATACTAAATACAGACATTCAAAGACCTTTGAAAACTCTTAGGGGAGCAATCCTCTTAGAACCGTTTATAGTTTTTGGAACTAGCAACCTATCCTGTTTGTCTTGGAACTGACCCTGTTTTTTTGATATGATTTCAGGGTCTACTCGAGAACCTGTTTTTCTTTTGTTACTTTTATTGGTTTCATTTTTTTACGGCAAAATAATATGAGCAACAAAATTGTTCAAAGTAAAAGATGAACGACAGTGAGCAAGCAAAGGCAAGTCAGGAACGAGCGAGGGTGCAAGGCTTGAACGATCAAGAAGGAGGGTGAGTTGCTCGCTAGAGAGAGAGAGAGAGAGCGTAGTGAAGTGTATGAGTGAGGTTAGAGAGAACAGAAAAAAGAAAGAGAGAGAGAAAGATGCCAAGAAAAAAACTAGAATTTTGAAGCTTTATGAAACTGGTTCCAAATTCGGTACCCAGTGGTTCTTCACTTGGAATTAATTTCCACCGGTTCCAAAATCGGGAGCCTGGAATGGGACCGATTTTTAGGGCGGTTCGGTCCGATGCCCAAGTAGAACATGTTTGGTTGCAAAGCCCTATACACGCCTACTACCACACTCATTTAGGTAATAGATTAACAGTCGATGCGTAAATTGTACATCATAACCTCCACCGCGGTCGATGTAGATAGTTATAATGTTTTGCGATGGCGAAGTTAGAGGTGACATGTTGATATAGCATGTTTATTCCATACATATCCATAAAAGTAACCAACTATGAGGCCCCAAAGCAAAAAAAGAAGGAAAACATGCGTAACCAACCGATAGGAATAAACAAAGAAACCCTTTCAGGAGTCATTTACAGCTGAGAAAACCATCAGTACGACCCCGACAAAATCCGAAATGTTCAATTCAGGGTTATAATATATGCAACTTGGGCCAACCAGAGCAGGATTGAACAATCTCTTGTTAGACGTCGCGAAACTTGTCTTCAGCTGAATGAAGTTGAAATACCTCCAGTTTTCAAACATTCTTTGATGAGGCTTTAAGTACAACTGCATTTTTGGATTTGGAAGTAGAAGCCAAGAGAAAACTTCATATCTGGACAATTACGTATATTCCAAGACTGGTTGAGCCTCCTGTCTCTTTTGGATACCTTTTCTTTGTACAGATTGGGATTATGCACCGGTACTAATTCTGTCTTTTGAACGAAAAAAAATTAATCTGAAGGATTAGTTGGCTGCAAAGGATGACTCGGGTTGTGTTTAACGAATTTGGCACAAAGAAAGAAAAAAAACAAAAGAAAATTAAAACGGGAGTTCAGCGGAAGTAACTTCCACGATAACCGACAATTTTTCGATGAATATCTTGTGAATTTTGTCCCAGAATTTGATTGTCGCATCTGAAACAGGCTTTAGGAGAGCACATAGAAAGCGTACACGAGAACAATAAGTAGCAACTCACCTGTACTGTTGTTTGACAAACATGATTTCCATTTGAGTACTTTAACTGTGCTGCTTACCCCTTGCAAATCGTGAAATTTATCTATCTTATATTCATCGTATCATGTCATTTTTCTTTCTATTTTGCGACCCTTTTGCACTTGATTGCCACAAACATCGTAAAACAAACAATATCCCATTTGGCGATATATTGTAATTTATTACGTTGAGATGTCAAGGTGACGTTTAGTGGCCCAATTTTGTAGCATATAAAGTCCGGCAAACCATTTGAATGAAGTCTTCTCCTTACCAATGGAACGGCGCGATCTTTTTAGCTTGATGGTGGTCAGTCTGATTTGCTTGATTGAACCTAACATCAAAACTCACTGCAGGTAATCCTTTTAAAGGAGAAAAGGAAATTTTCATGAGATATAACTTGGAGAATTTCAACCTTTCGAATCTGGAACGGAGCAGTTGCAAACACTTGCTGTGATCAAGCATACTAAGCGCATGATTCGCTCATTAAAATTCTTCGAGCCAATGTGTTGGGGTCTTGGCACAAAAAACCATTCAAAATGCTTGAGATCATTTTGACAGGTCCATTTCTTTTCTTTTTCGGTCAGCATTTCAACAGTAGAATTGATCACTAATTCATGCACTCTTTCTACTGGAGTATCTGCAGTTACTTTGAAAAGAAAAACAACATATGAATACTATTACTGCTGAGAAAAGAATAAATGATGGTTATCAGCAGTAGCAGCGAGTTAACTTGGTCAGGTTGTGTTAGATCATTCAGAACAATTAGCTTAGCAAGCACCTCAGTTAAACAATTCAATTCTCCTTCTAGCTTCAAACTCTAATAAGCTTATCATCAGTCTGAGGTTCTTCATTATGCATCTATCCTTTTCATGTGTCTTGACATTCTCATCTTCGAGATGACCCTTTAGTAGAGGTGGCTATTATTACTCCGTGTACACTAATTCTTTCAATTATGGCACCGTGCTGCTGCTGACAGTGTTTTTTTTTTCCTGAGGTAAATAGCACAATCAATCTATCACCAAGGACTCAATATGGCAAACTCACTCTCATATCCCGCAACAGGGGAGTGAACGGCAAAGCCTACAACATAAAGGCGGAGAAGACTTTTGAAGGTAATTTGTGTCCTAAAAACTAAAATCCATCAATATCCTTGCTTCTAGTCTCATGAAAGATAATCATCAGCAGCCAAATCCTTAGCATTTGCCTATAAGCTCCCACATATTTCCTCCGGTAGGTGCCAGGGTTTAGAATTCTCCCCTAGCTAAGCTGAAATACATCATCTGTTTATCCCACAGAGCAGGACACGAGATGTTCATCCTTAAACCCTAGCTTTATGCACTAGGTCCACCAATCATTTGCCCACTTCACATATAGTTCTGGAGCATCTTCCTCTGGCAATACCCACGCCTTCACTATCCAAGTCTTCGGTGGTTTCTGAATAAATGTCACCAGCAGATCAAACATAAACTAGATAAATCCTTAAACTACAAAGTACTTTTAAAACATCACAAGCTACAGCTACAAAGTAAACGACTAAGAAACCCGATGATTGCAGTGAAAGGATGTGAAACAATATCAGCAAAGAGCCGATTCACTTCCGCTAGTATACTATAGGGTATAACTCAAGTCAGTTGTATCTTACAAGGCCTCATAAATTTTAGCAATGGACCAGATTTGGGAAAAAGTAAAGAGGTCCAGGCAAATGCCTACAATAATCAAAGGTAACAAAGAGCATCCGTGTATGGATAGACTCCTTCCCAGCTATATACCAATCCATCTTCCCGTTCAATGCTCTTGAGCTGGGGCATCGAGTCACCAATGTCCATGGCCGTGTTCTTCTTGAGGTCATACAACACAAATTTGCTGGGGATGCGCAATACCATGAAACACTCTTCCTTCTCTCCTACTTGCCTATGAACAATGTGCAGCACAGAGAAGCTGTATGCCGCGACGATATGCACATTCCTCTGCAGGCTCCTCGCCAAATCCCTCGCCACCGCCTCAAGATCGACATGGTACTTCACGAACCAGCCGGAGTAGTCCCTCGCCATCTCCATCACATCAAAGGCAGTGGTGGACGAGCCGTAGATCTCCACCAGATAGAGATGGCCTCCCGATTCCCCGAAGTAGCCCAATTTCCTCTCGGACCACCCTTCCCGGACCGGTGGCATTGCCATCTCCATCAAAACCTCGTCTTTCACGTGGAACCGGAGAGAAGACCTCCCCCTGCCAATCCAGTGAAGTCCGCCGTTCCAAAACACGCCCCGGTTGAACAACAGCTCATCCGAAACGGGGAATGGCTTCCCGGATTTCCTCCAGCCGCCAAAGTGCGAGGAGCACACGAGAATCTGCCGGTGCCGCGCCGACACTTCGGAGTCGGCGACGCACACGAGCCGGTAAAGGGCTTTGGCGGGATCGAAGGCCACGTTGATCCCGAAAACGGTCCGGCAGTCGGGGCTGGGGAGAGGGAGGAACTGCCTGGTGGGAGGCGTGCAGATGTAGTAAATCCGATCGTCCTCGTGACACCGGAAGCTGCTGCAGAGGAGGAGCCCATTGCAGGAATGCCGGACAAACACGCCGTTCTCGTCCTCGATCAAATTCGCCAGAGAATGGTCGGCGCCGGAGCAAGGACTGGGACCACCTGTCGGGGCTTCCTCCGGGGGGTCGCAAGAAACGAACTTGAGGGAGGAGTAGAGGCGGTAAAACAGGAACCTTTGGAGGTAGAAGCCGGAGGAGCGGAGTCGGGCGTGGCGGCGGGAGTAGCCGGAGACGAAGACGGGGTCGGAGACGAGGTGGCGCCACCGCCGGCAGACGAGCTTGCACCTCAGCAGGGCCTTCAGGGGGAGGCGGACCAGGATGCTGGCCAGCACGTCGTCCACCTCCCCGATCGACGGCCGGTGCCGCTCCGGCCTGAACTCGGCGGGGCCGCACATGGGTTTTTTTCGCCGGCAGAGGTGATCTGATCGGAGAGAGAGAGAGAGAGAAAGGGAGACGAAGCGCGCACGTCAGTACCCGCGCGGGCAGGAAGGAAGAGACAGCGACATGGCTTCGACGAAGAAGAAGAAGACGAAGACGACGACGTCGTCTTCGTCAACCTATCTCCTTCATTCTCGTCACGATGGTCTACCCCACGACCCGACCCACCTCGTACTACGTTATTTTTCTCTGATTGAGAAAAATCTTTTCCCACGTTAGAAAAACGAGAACGAACGAACGAACTTTGCTTTTTTTTTTTTTTTTGGATGGAACGGTTTGGATCTATATTAGTCTTGTAAATTTTTTGTTTTTTGGAACGTGAGTTGTTTTACGGCCCGGCAACGGCAGACGGCAATTGATTGGAAGGATTGTATTGAAAAATCACACAAAGGGTCGGGACTGTACTGGTAAAATCGAAAAGTTTAAGATCGAATTGACACTGCTAAAATGAATTTAGGGCCGATTGAGTAATTACCTAATATTTTCGTCTTGTAAGTTTACTTATTAAAGATTGGGTTGATCTACATACCTGATGTGATTGGGATGGGGTAATCTTAATCTAGTCTGGTAATCACATAAGAGAGAGGACTAATCTTTCATGCCAAACTATTTATTTGAGATTATTAATATTTTCATGGAGTTTTTTTTAATATTATTTTCATGGATTGTTTTTTTGGTTGTCATACTCTAACTCTCAATTCACTATCAGATTTTTGCCTTGCCTTTTGCAGTGCGTGAGAGTCGAAACCCACATTTGAAACTATACGTCCCTACTCCTAAACCCCCCGAGAAGGTGGGGATTTGAACTCCTCATCCCCCTTCCAAAGGAGTTGATGTAACATTTTTTATTATTTTTTCAAAGAGAGGGGCACCGATGTGGTATCTTCTTCTTCCTCTTAGCTCAAATGGCCATGGAGGCCACAAGCTTTGGAACTTTAATACCTTTCAAGGTAGTAAAAATAAAGGGTTAATACCACGAAAAACCCAAAATTGATACACCTGTGACAATTTTATCCCAAACTAATTTTTTGATCATGAATTTTTCCAAATACTTTTCCTTGGCACGTAGTTCTTTCAATCATCCGTAAAGTCCACACCAATTTGTTAGAGAATTAATGTTACGTTGGTCATGGTCAGTGGATGTGTTGATGAGGGACGAATTTATCTCGATGATCGTTACCATCCATGTTGGTTGTTCGATGTATCCAATATGTCCATAGATAATAGTATCAGGTATTCATGTGAATATCATATTTTTTTTATTCTAGCATATTCTCTGACTCTGACAAAATGTATTTAAAATTGCTAATGCGTTAAGATATTAATAATTAGAGATGTTGAAAAAGGGGATTTAAAAGCCTTCATTTATCCCCGGATTGTAAAAATATTCTATCATATGTTTGGTACAACTTAAAATAGGATTTGGAATATTTGAAAATAATCTTTGAAAGTTTTTGAGAATATGTAACTGAAGATAAGATTGAAAATCTTTGTAAATCATTCTCATATGAAAATCTTTAAAAATATTTGAAAACCCATCTTTGACTTTGCTCCTCCTCCTGTACATAAGTCATTCTAGGGAGCATGACGTTTCTCAATTGACACGAGTTCACCGACACGAGTTTATGTAATTTTGGGACGGCTTCGTGAAGAACGAGGGGCACTTCCCGTGGGTCGTACGGTCGGACTCCATTGCCAAAGAAAGCTGCTAAAAGAGGCGACACCGGAGAAGGTGTGCGTCGTGGGATGGGCCCGCAGGAGGAGGTTTTGAACCACAATGCAGATGGAACTCGACGCTTGAGAGCGTGGTCGCCAAGAAGCCGATGATGTGTTGACCATTCGTTGTTGACTAGTAGGTGAACAATCGGCTCAAGAGTCATGCGTGCTAAGAGAGGTGACATCATAGAAGGTGTGTGTTGTGGGATGGGCCTGCAGGAGGACGTTTTGCACCACGGTGCAGGAGCTGATCGTTTGTCGTCGATTAGTAGGTGAATAACCGGCTCAAGAATCATGTGTGAAAGGTCGGCTCGACGTGAAGGACGTATGTGACTGGGATGGAAAGGATGATTTATGCAAACCCTGCACAACCATTGTCTTTAGACCACTTTTCACTCGCCGGCCAACCGGCGGTGATGACGGGCATGGTTGGAGGTGACAACGATTATGCACTCATCGGAAGTGATGATGTTCGGTAATTTTTTGATGGTCCTAGTGTTGGGAAGTAATATGCGAAGCGTCACTATATCACTTTTTTAAACGATAAAATATGAATTTTTAGTTATTTTTAAATTTTATACCCAATTCGGTCTTATCCCACCCCCTAGGCCGGATTGTTACCTGGAAAAGGGTCTATGTTCAGAACAAGAATTTAGCAAATGCAGGTATTCATGTTAAAATAAAAGTCACATGATTCATAAGAAAACAAATAGAGGAGGAAACGAATGCTTTATTGCCCTTAACGACCTACTTCATCTGATACAAGCTCTTTATATAAACAGAGCAACAACGGAAACAGCTAAAACATGGCCTAAAAAATAGCAACAGAAGAGACTCACTAATGTGCAGCAACGTGCTGCAACAAACCCCTGAAGAATAGCAACAGAAACATTCTCCAACTTATTAACCACGTAGAACATTAACAAATTCAAACATTGACTCATTCAACATCCCTCTCTTAAACTGATGTTGTAGATAAATAGTTTAAAGGAACAGGCTAACCCTCCCTTAATCTGGAGCATCCAATGAACAAACACCAAGAAGCTTCCTTAACTTCTTAAATGTGGTAATTTTGAGAGGTTTTGTGAACAAATCAGCAACTTGATCTTCACTTCTGCAGAAAACAGGATCAATCACACCATCTTTTGTAAGATCCCTCAAGAAATGATACTTCACATCTATATGCTTGCTCCTCTCATGTAGAACTGGATTCTTTGACAATTTAATGGCTGAATTGTTGTCAAAAAAAATTATTGTTGCTTCATGATATTCGAATTGAAGTTGTCCAAGAATCTTCCTCAACCAAATAGCATGACAAGCACTTGATGTGGCAGCCACAAATTCGGCTTCTGTTGTTGAAAGAGTGACTAAGGGTTGTTTCTTTGAAGACCACGAGACAGCTGCTGGACCAAGCGTAAATACATAGCCTGAGGTGCTTTTTCGGTTCTCAATATCGCTTGCATAATCACTATTAGTAAAACCAAATAAATCTGAACTTTCTCCTTTCTTGTAAAACAACCCAAGAGATGCAGTCCCTTTCAAATAGCATAAAATACGCTTAGCAGCCTGAAGGTGTTTTTCGGTGGGACTCTCCATGTATCTACTAATGAGACTAACACCATACATGATGTCTGGTCTTGTTGCTGTTAAGTACATGAGACTCCCCATAATTTGCTTGTACATGGTGTTGTTCACTTTCCTTCCACCAGGATCTTTGGTGAGCTTTAATCCAACCTCTATTGGTGTGGCAACTGAATTGCAATCCTTCAATTGAAACTTCTCCAAAATCTCCTGCACATATTATTTTTGGCAAATAAAGGTACCAACAACAGACTGATTAACTTCAATGCCTAAGAAATGGTGCATTAACTCGAGATCTGTCATTTAAAATTCATGCATCATGGATTGCTTAAATGGCTCCATCATGGCACCATGATTCCTTGTGTAAATGAGATCATCTACATACATGCATAGGAAAAGTAGTTTTCCACCATGACCAATCTTAATAAACAAAATATGTTCATAAGGACACTTGGTAAACCCTTTCTTCAAAAAATAAGCTTCAATCCTACTATACCAAGCTCGAGGAGCTTGCTTTAATCCATATAATACCTTCTTCAGGTTGTATACTTTATCCGCACAATCAGGCTTCACATATCCAGAAGGTTGGTCAATAATTACTTGTTCTTGGAGATCACCATGTAAAAAGGTGGACTTCGCATCTAACTGATGGATAGGCCAAGATTTCTGTGTTGCTAATGCAATCACCAACCGAATTGTGTCAAGTCTCGCAACTGATGCGAACATCTCTTTGCAGTTCACTCCAAATTCTTACTTGTAGCCTTTTGTCACCAAACGCGCCTTGTATTTGTCAATGCCACCATCCTTGTTTAGCTTTGTCTTGTAGACCCACTTGACACCAATAGTGTTGTGGCCTTTGGGAAGATTTGTTAATTCCCAAGTGTTGTTTTTCTCAATTGCTTCAATTTCAGCATCCATTGCATCTCTCCACTTTTGATGTTTAACTGCTTCGTCAAAAGTAGTTGGATCACTATATGCAAACAAAGCAAAATGAGTTAATGGGTATTCACTTTGATAAACTCCGGACACCTCATAATCTCTCATCCATGCTGGCCTTTGTAGGTGACGTTGGGGGCGTGCACCATGTGTTGCAGTAGCTTCGGAATTGGGCTGCTGGTCCTTCTCTTCAATAGGGTCAGAATTGTTACTAGTTGAGGCCGAATTGCGTTGTTGGTCTTCCTTGCCAATTTCTTCAAAATCAACTGCAATTGGTGCAACACCTTTAGCTTGATCATTCCAAGGCCAGAACATTTCTTCATCAAACACTACATCATGGCTGATTATAATCTTCTTGGTCATAGGATCACAGAGTTTGTAAGCTTTTGTTTGATCACTTACACCAAGAAAGACACATCTTACTTCCTTATCGTCATGCTTTTTCCTTTTCTGATCTGGAACGTGGGCATATGCAATACACCCAAAAATTTTGAAGTAATCAACCGTTGGCCTTCGACCATTCCAAGCTTCTTTATGAGTCATGAACAGCAAGTGTGGGGCTTCTGTTCAAGAGATGGACACTCCAATTTATTGCCTCTGGCCACAACTTCTTTGGAATTCCACTTCTTCGCAGTAGACTTCGAACCATGTTCAGGATGGTTCGATTCTTCCTCTCACATACACCATTTTGTTGTGGTGTATATGCTGCAGTAAGTTGCCTACGAATTCCATGCTTCGTACAAAAATCATCAAACTCAAGAGACTTGTACTCTCCTCCACGATCAGTATGAAGAACTTTGATTTGATTGCCACTTTCCTTTTCGACAAGACTTTTGAAATTCTTGAATGCTTCAAAAGCTTCAGATTTTTCTTGCAAGAAATATGCCCACACCTTTCGACTGAAAATCATCAATGAATGTGATCAGATATCGTTTACCTCCATTAGAAATTGGTGAGATTGGACCGCAAAGATTTGAATGAATCAGCTCAAGCTGCTTCTTAGCCCTCCACGCCTTGCCTTGTGGAAACTGAGCTCAATGTTGTTTGCTGACAACACAATCTTCCCAAACTCCTGATGGGATTGTGATTGGAGGAAGTCCCTTCACCGTCTGCTTTTGGTGTAGTGTTCGCAAGCCACCAAAATTAAGATGCCCATATCTGAAATGCCAAATCCATGCTTCCTCCTTTAATTTTGCCGTGTAGCAAGCAGGAGCAGAATCATGAAGATGAAGAGGAAACATTTTGTTTGGTGTCATATCAACTTGAACAAGCAAGTTCTGCTGCTGATCATAAATCTTGCAAACTCCACCTTTAAATACAATTTCATACCCCTTCTCAAGTAATTGGCCGGCACTCATGAGGTTTGTCTTCAATTTATGAACATAGAAAACATCATTCATGGTTTGCGTTTTCCTTTTTGAAGAGATTTGAACAGCACCTTTTCCCATGACTGAAATGGTAGAATCATCCCCAAGCTTCACTTTGGTGCGGTGGGTATCATCGATTGAAGAAAATGCCTCCTTTTTGCCACACATATGATTGCTACAGCCAGGGTCAAGGTACCATAAATTTGGTGAAGACATCTCTTTCTCTCAACATGCCATTAGGAGCGTCTCTCCTTCTTCTTCATTTGCTGCAGCAAAATTTGTTTCTTCCACATGTCGACTGAGATTGGTTCTACATTCAGACTTGTAGTGTCCATACTTGTGGCATCTAAAGCATTCAACTTTAGATTTGTCTGTTGGTTTTGGCTTGAAGCTAGTTGGATACCATCCTCGACCTCTACTTCGTGCATCATCAGAGGAGGAGCCTTCAATTCTTGGATTGATGGTGCTGCTGCGTTGGTGGAATCCTCTGCCTCTCCCTCTACCATTTCATTCTTATTGCTGAAGAATGACGAAAATTAGTAGAGGTCTTCAAGGCTTGTTCTTCTATATCTTGGTGTCGGAGTTTCTGTTCATGAACCAATAAAGAACCTTGCAGTTCATCAATTGAAAGTTCTTCAATATCCTTAGCTTCTTCTATGGCACAGACAGCAAAATTGAATTTTGGTGTCAAGGATCGAAGAATTTTTTCAACAATGGTGACGTCCTCCGTCTTGTCACCGTGGATTTGTATCTTATTGACGATTGCCATCGTTCTTGAAAAATAATCTGTGACTAACTCCCCTGACTTCATTCGTAGTGTTTCGAAGTCCGTACAAAAAGCTTGTAGTTGTTGCCTCTTTGCCCTTGCAGAGCCTTGATACTTCTTCTTCATGGAATCCCATATTTGCTTGGAAGTATCATTGCAAAGGATTGTCTCCATGATGGACCTGTCTATTGCTTGAAACAAGTAGTTCTCTGCTTTGAGGTCCTTCAGCTTTGCCATTTCAAGAGCTGTTCGTTATGCTACTATCAAAGTTGCTCCTTCTAGTTCTGCAATTCCAGAAGAAACAACGTCCCAATACTCCTTAGACTTGAGGAAATTCTCCATCAACATACTCCAATGGTCATAATGACCATCAAAACGAGGTGTAGAGTGTTGTACAAAATTCTCTGTCGCCATCACTTCTGCTGCAAAGAAGAACCACTGCTACTGCTGTAAGCAAAAAATAATCTACTCACTCACGGGTTGCTGCTACAACTGAAGCTACTGTCCAAGACTCTCTTTCCTCACGTGTTTGAACACTCAAGACTCTCCTTTTGAACACTCAACACACTCACGTTTCTTTTGTGGCTCTGATACCACTGTTAAATAAAAGTCACATGACTCAGAAGAAAATAAACATAGGAGAAAACGAATGCTTTATTGCCCGTAACCACCTACTTCATCTGACACAAGCTCTTTATATAAACAGAGCAACAATGGAAACAACTAAAACATAGCCTAAAAATAGCAACAGAAGAGACTCACTAGTGTGCAGCAACGTGCTGCAACAAACTCCTGAAGAATAGCAACAGAAACATTCTCCAGCTTATCGACCATGTAGAACATTGACAAATTCAAACATTGACTCATTCAACAATTCAGTCACCTCGCGCGTCTCTATTAGCCTTACCCTGTCCGAGACTGACTTTTAGCATCCAGTTAAACCCTCATTCCAAACATAAGATCTTCCGGCCTCAGTTTTTGATGCATAAGATCCTCATCAAGGCGAGTGCAGAGGATACTACGAAGATAAGATGCTATCTTACCATTCTAAAATCTCTAATACTAGACATAACTTTGAAGAGAAGAAAAGAGATTTAGCTTTGCATGCGCTCAAACACACAATTTTGTTTCTGGAGGCTAGTCTTGCCCATTCTATTATAAACGATGCCTTTTATAGGTATAAGGGAAAAGAAAAGACAAGCAAAGTAATATCATCCGTGACATGGGCATATTAATGCCTAATAAAACACATGGTTCACACTATGACATCTACTGGCGGAGCAGAAATTTTTACTTGGCTATTTTCACTCATGGTGTAGTAAGATGTTCTCTTCAAACTCTCTTGGTATCCGGGTTTATCCGGTCCGGAGAACGTCACCAAACACTGAATTAAATAATTTGTTATTTTATCCGGATTCAAATCCGGGTTATCAAACGCAGCCCTATATCATAGTAGTTATCGTTGGACTTGCATTGATAGAAAAGTTTAGCGGGTCTCTCTTTGCTAGGAAAGAGAAAAATCCAATTCTCCCTAGCTAGACCAGACAACGTATATACAAGGAAAACTAGAGTGAAAGCACCTAAAGGCAGCCTCTCTGACAGGGATTGTTTGGATTTACTTGTACTTAGAACTGTAAAAAGGGTGGATCGGATCGAAAATAGTCTGATCTAAATTGACCCACTTAATCCGTTTTCACTCATTTTTATGTAATGCAAATCTATCGACTGATACCTGACTCAACCAGATCCATATTACTAAAATGCTTCTATATTTAACTAAATCTAGGAAAACTCATATCAAAACTGAAATGAGAGCGAGGAGCGAGCGCGAGATCAAGTGAAAGCAAAAGAGAGTTATAGAGATGGATTGAGTCTAAGCAATTTATTTACCCATTTAACACTCATATTATTTTAGGCTTTATCATTTTAAACCCATTTATGGCCCATTTAGTGATTATATCTGACCCCTATAACAACCCAACCCATTAAATATGGATTAAGAAATGAATTTATGATCCAATTTGACAGGTCTACTTGTACTTTATACTTTTTACTACGCATTTTGACATCTCAAACAGATTTCCGGGGGTCTTGCTATTGTACCAAAACATATATTTTTTTGGCCGAAACGAGCAAACCAGAGGAGCATGAAATCTAAAGATAGATCAAACTTTCATTGTTGGTTTGGAAAGTGAGAGCATTATAAGATACCCTTATTCGAAGCTTTACGAGCATTATTTCTAGCGCAGATCCGGTAAAAATTGGCCCTAGGCATGTCATCCACCATTCCTGAGGCCTATATCCAATGTTAGTTGATGCGACGACGCAACCATAAGATCCAAAAAAAAATATAAGTTGTAGTTGAAAGATCTCCCGGACCCCGTGGTAGCCGGAAGTGTAAGGGGTACGAGGAGACGACGGTGAAGAAGGGGCGGATCAATGATCAAGACCTGGTACACGCGCGGTGGGTCGTGGGGTCTTTTTTCATCAGCGCCGGTTTACACCATTGGCGGTTGATTCATCGCAGTCTTCTTAGTCTATGCTATGAAGGATTCGATGGGCTTTTGTATTCGCTCAATTCGCCCCCACTTGTTGAGATTCTTGGTCTACCATGTACTATGTGCAAGCGCAAGCTCTTTCTCTTTCCCTCCAAATGAATGATTGTTTGCTTTCTTCAGAGAAGAAAAATGAGGGGAGACCAAAATCAGGAACAATCACAGTTCTGTATATTAGTTTGTCAGTCATTTGTACGGTGGAAATTGCTGGACCAAAATTGGAATTTTTTCTTAAGTTCGCCGACTTCCTAACTCCTAATTTTCTCATGTCCTAAATTCAACATTTTGCGTTCCCCAAAGTTGATTCTTCTAAAATATGGACTTGTGGATGTGCACACCTACTGCAACAAGGCAATGTAGTAAACTGGTCTGGCTCCGCCTGTGCTAATAAACCGCAAAGCGAATAGATTACTTGCATTTCTCGAATCAGGTGGTTGTTTTGGCTGAAGTGCTGGAGTAGCTCCTTGAGCTCCCCGACTGTACTACTAGCGGGTCGCTCATCACCTCCTGCACCACGAACATCCAACAAAAACTTATGACTCCGTCTCGATTCACGATCACATAATTCTGATACTTATAGCTGTAGCTGATCAACTGTTTCTTTGTTAGATTAACAGGATGATTTGAGTGAAGACTGAAAAGGGGTTTATATTCCAAGTTCCAGATGTTAGTGAAGAGACTTTGGCTTACCTGAGCTGTGGAAATGTGAGAGTGATGAGGGGATGGCAGTGCACTGCCACCCAATATCGAGCAGTGCTGCAAGTTCTCTTCAGCAAAATCTCTCAACTTGTTGAGCTCTGGCAAAACAACCTTGCCGAGATCCGGCCGGTCCTTCCGTCTCATCTCAGCACATTGGAGAGCTATCTGTGCGAGGGACAAGGCCTCCTCAACGGGCCAGTCAGGTACTTCGGGGTCTAGCATCTCTGAGAAGTTTCCTTTCTCTATGGACTTGCTGATGTGGTGAGTGATGCCCATCGGTGATTTTGCCGTGATTAGTTGCAGAAGCACGATTCCGAAAGAATATACGTCAGATTTCACGCCTAGCATCCCTGTTTGCTGATACTCCGGATCGATGTAGCAGAAAGTGCCTGCGGTCGATGTCATTCGGTACTGTGTTACAGTTTCAGCAACTGAAGGAGGAACCAGCCTAGCCAATCCAACGTCGCTAATTTTGCTGATATAGTTGTAATCGAGCAAAATGTTGCCGGGTTTGAGGTCACGATGGACTAGAGGCTCTGGCTTTGTCTGATGGAGGAACAGGAGGCCTGTGGCTATCTCTGCAGCAATTTTGAATCTAATTTGCCAAGACAGAACGGGTGACTTGCGTCGCTGGAAAAGACGTTCCTCTAAGCTTCCGTTGGCCATGTACTCGTACACTAGACACCCGTACTCTGGGCAGGCTCCCAAGAGAAGCACCATGTTGGGATGCCTTATGCGGCTAAGTACTTCCACCTGCATCACCATGATTAAGGGACAGATTATGTTCGCTATTCTTTGCAATCATTATACGTATATATGTCAACAATATGTCTGTCCATGTCTTAGATCATTTAATTAACACCTAAAGATGGGCCACATGACTCATGCTTTAACTGTGTTTTACTTTGTCTTATGGAACTATTGCTTTGGCTTTGCTCAGATCTCTTTAGTTCTTTGACTGATAGATTTGCTGTGAAGAGAAGACAGATGCAAGCAATAGTAAGCTTTTTGTTGAATTAAAAAGGCCACCAAGAAGGAAGATGTGCAAGAATCTAAATGTAAAATCCTCGTCTCTCCCATACCTCTTGTTGAAACTGCGACCTTCCTTGAGCTGCATCTGGACGTAAAACTTTAACTGCAACCGGTGTATGATCTAGGTAACACTTGAACACTGGGCCGTAACCTCCCTCGCCAACCTTGTGAGACTCAGCAAAGAAATTGGTTGCAGCTTCAATCTCTTCAATTGTGTATCGCCTGTATCTTGCATCGCTGTGCTGCAGTTCATCCAATACCTTCTTTATCTCTTCTGCCTCTCTGAGGGCTTTCATTTCTGCATTCAGTCTCCTTTGTGCTTCCAGCTCTGCAATTCTTTGTGCTGACTCTGCTTGTTCAAGGGCTGCTTTGTACTTAACTCTTTCCTTCTCTGCAATTGACAGTGCATTTTCCTTAGCATGTTGCGCCTCATCCAGTCTCCGCTCTTCTTCGTATCTCCAGCGTTGCAGTTCCATTGCCTGAAGTTAACTCAATTTAAACAATCGCTGTTTACATATGTATAATTGAAGTACATGGTGATCATCCATACCTTCTGTTTTGCCACCAGTGCCTCCTTGCATGCTGTACTGTACATCTCCATTGTTTGCTTCAATTCTAACTTTAACCTCCTCATTTCAACTTCTGCATCATCCTGTGTATTTTGTACAGAGAACGTGGAAGTCTGAAGTCATTTATTAATTCTTGATATTTCACTCATGCAATTAGTATTCTTGTGTGTGAGTAAAAAAAAAAATCTAGTATTCTTTCAGGCAATGCGTACATACTTTAAACTTTTTGGAAACATTCTGATGACAAATATGAGGTAAGATAGTGATGCTGGTAGGTCTCAAGCACTTTCCAGACCGCAGGAAATATCTCTTGGTTAGTTTTAGAACATTGAAACTGCTGTTTGTACGTTGAAGAAATGTCTTAGAAAAAGAAAACATTACCAGGTTCTGTGATGAGAACGAGCACGATGTTCGTCCACTCTCTTGTGAGATCGGTGACAATTCATATGATGAACCGAAATCAATAAATCTCTGCAGTGAATGAATGGATGACCTATCTGGGCTGGTGGAGAGCCGCGCGGGGTAGATGGAGTCCATTCGGTCATAGAGCATAGAGGATGATTGATCTGTGCTTGATCTTCCAGAGCTGATGAACGATATGTCAGTGTCTACTTCTGGCATCATCCCTGCTGCATATGCTGATGAACCTCTTCCTTTGTCCAATGCCGACCTGTTTCATTTTTTTGCATTGAACTCATTGAATGAGTCTAAACTTATAAAACCAGCAGCGTGACATGACCACAATGAGAGTACTCGACCTATCCTCCCTCTTCCCCTGCTCTCACAAGTCACGAGACTCGCAACGATATGTACCTAATATCCGACTTGACATGCATCTAGGATAGACTGGATAGGCACTTATCGGGAAAAAAAGGCACTTCTTCTTGCCAAACATTCGTCTCTTCATAAATTGAACTGTCTATAGACTATAAGCATTTGAAACCCCCATATGCATTCGACCAAAAAAAAGAAAAATATGCACTCTTTCTGGAAATAGTCTAAGATTTCACGACTTACCTGATGGACTCATTGGGCATGGCAAGAGCAGACTTGATTGAAGTTTGATCTGCAACTAATAGAAGGCTCCAACAGTTTAACATTTTTGCCATACTGAAGCAATAACGGAAGTGGTTGGTGAGATAAACGAACCTTTTAAACTGTTCTGCAAGTGTTTTTCAGAACCGGCGGTCTGTTTGTTAAGGTTCTGTATTTGTTCGAGAAGAGGGGAGGCATAAGGAGACGGACGAGAAGCATTCCGCACGGAAGAGACCTTTCCTTTGGAGACAACATAAACCGTGCAGAAATCTGGTGCCCCTTTTGAAACACTGCTTGGGATGTTTGAATGCTTTAATCTATTCAAGAAAAGCCAAGAAGTTTAGGCCTGTTTGAAGTACTCATATTGCAGAGTGCAAGTTTGATTGTCCTCTTTATAATGTTTTTTCGTAGAGCCAGGTTCACACACAGTGTAAAGCACGCATATCTTCCCGAGTTGTTGTCCTTGGGAGTTGGCGTGAAGATCATTCCGCTTAATGTTTGTAAACTATTATTTTTGACTATCTTTGTTTGATTGAGTGAAGAGCTTTTCGATTCTTCAGTAGTGCCTTATTTCATTTCTGTTTTATTCCTCATATCATGTGATTCGCTTCTGAGGTTTTGTCACAGGAATGTTGTGTTGAATAGTTTGAAATCTTTGTAGAGCTAGTGCAAAAAAATAGGAACAAGACATGACTAGCGAATTTGAAAGCGAAAAAGATGCTCTATGACCGACTTCAAAGGACGTATCACGGATGGTTCGGTCTCACGTACAGCTTCATTTGTAATGAGATGCCCAAGACGTAAGAGAAAAATTAGAAAAGGAAAAAAGGCAGAATTTTAGAGGATAGAAGATGCCACCTGATGAATCCATGACGATGCGAAGCACCGAGAACCAAGAGCTCTATCCCGGCGTAAGAGACGTATTCTGTAATTGCTCTGGCCACATCCAGGTCCTCCAGTATGACATCTAGGCAATGTATCTGATCCAAGTTACTGAATTTGTGAATGTAAGTAATAAATGAGGCAAAGAATGTTGCATCATGCATGTTTTGCTTATGAAAGATGGTGGGAAAATTGCAGTATTGAAGGGCATAGACTTCATCATTAGATGCATACATCTTTTCGAGTGCAATAACAATGGAAGGTGAGGAACAGGTCCTTGTTTAACTTTTGCAACTCCTGCTTGTGTGGCGCCGGGCCTTCAATACTGGAATTCGTGTGGTGGTCATAATTGCGATGGTGTCGTGGTGCTGCATCCACCGAAGAGTGGGAGAGAAAGTTAAATGTATGGGTTACCTATTTCCACGAGGCATCATGACATATCATAGCTTCGAAAATGGCAATCGGCAAGCTACTTAGAAAGAGAGAGATCTGCAGAATATAATATGGCAACGTACAGGAAGCGGAGGCGGAGTTGTGGTGCACATGGATGAGGATGACGGTTTGGCCTTTGGAGAGGATATTATCGGCAGCCCACCGGATGGCGTATTGGCTGCCTTTGTCGCTGTCGATGGCGACGGCGACCAATCCATTCCTCATCGCGGCTTTCTTCTCCACATGACTCTTTCCAACCCACATTCTCTCTCTCTTTCTCTCTTCTCTTCTCTGTGGCAATGTAGGATCAAGCAGATTGATTCTTGGGTGGGTGACAACAAAACCTGGGACTGTGTTTGATGATCGGAGCTCCCTCCTAAAAAGGTGTACCCGCTATTTTCTCTTCTTCAGATGTCAAAGGTTGTTTGTTTGCTTTCCTGTTTTGTTCCCTCGTCTTGTGCACGAAAGCATCGAGCATCAGTCATTAAAAATAGCTAAGAGGAGACCGAAATATGAGACTCTCCTGTAATCTCTCTCTCTCTCTCTCTCTCTGATTTTCTTCTCTTGATATGTAGCCCAAGTTGGAAGTTCAGCTCAGGCCGAAGGAAAGAAAAACGTTGGAAGTTAAACCATGATTTGCTTTGCTTTGCATTGCATATTTTGACAGTAGGATTATGTGCCTTGAATTTCTATATAAAAATTATTATGGAAGTGACGACAGACTTTGAACTTTTGCTTGTTATTCAATATCATCCCCGAACTTCTTTTTGTTCGATGCCGTTTTTGTACTTTTGAAAATTCAGTTCAATGCGATCTTTTCATTATAATCGTTGGTGAAATCTGCTAATGTTGATGGATATTCCGTTTACTTTAGGACTTGTCATTAATTTTTATTCAATTTCGTCCCTATACTCTATTTATTTGTTCAATTTGGTCTGCCGAACGGTTGTTTTTCTCCCTCATTTGCGTCGTGTCAAATTTAGGTTTAGTCCCTATACAAATTCTCATTGATTATATCATTATGTTAAAGCCTAAACAGATAGGTTGACAACATGAAACATTTAAGATGTGATCTCTTCTATATAAAAGGCTCATCTGTGTAGTTACATGTTGCAATTACTTTTAAATGTACCCAACATATGTTTCATGCCGGTACAAGGATCGTTTTGAATTGTCAATTCAGACCTGACTTTTTATTGTCCGAGAATAAATTGATTGACCAGCTTATGACGCAAACGCGATTAAGTCTAATATGAACACATCAATACGTACCGTGTGTACGTTTTGCCAAGGGTTTGTACGAAAAATTATTAGTTCTAATGACAGCCATCTAGGCTTATCGTGCGAAACGTTTGATGACCATCGCGATGCTCAAGCGAAATTTGTTAGAAAGAGGACCAAAAATGATATGTTGAGGACTAAACTCAACTGACAAACAAGTCCATGTACGCAACTGAACAAAAAATGAAAAGTCGGTAACTTCAACGACCCCGTCAGCAAACTTCTTTAAGTTATGATAGAAGGACTACATTTAGGAAAAATTAAAAAGTTCAGGGACGAAATTGAATGAAGAAAACTCTTAAGGACAGCATTGAATATCGAGTGAAAGCTTAGGACTACATATTAAAGCAAATAAAACTTGATTTTTTTGTATGGTTTTAAGATATGTGATTAATTAATCATCTCATTGCATCTTTTTTCGAACTGTTTGAGACATATATATATTTTTTATTTGTGGTTTCAATCTTGAAAAAGTTTGACCTAACTTATCGAGATGAAACCAACATAAAAATTTACAAACATTAAAGTTGGGATTTTGTTACCTCTGCGTGGCTCAACCTTTTCTTTTTTGCTCACAGAAAAAAGGATTTCCAACTTCGGTAAACTATAGATTAACCATATGATTAAGTAATTGGTTACTTATAATTTACTTATTTCATCACTCAAGAAATATACTTCTTGGTTTTTGTCATAAAAAACTTTTTGAAGGCGAATTTGTTCTTTCTTGGGAAATTTTGCATCTTTTTCTCCCGGAGGAATTAACAGGGTTAATTTAAAAAAAAAAGCACAAACTTTACTTTAAGTGACAATTCTGATCCGAACTTTTTTTTGTATGATAAAAAATCAGAAACTTTCACTTAAATTCTAAATTTGGCCCGAACAATTAGAAAATTTCGCATCACGAGAGCCGGATTTGAGACTCGAGTAAAAGTTAGCGCTCTTTATTGAGATAAAAAAAGTTCGGGCCGGAATTGTCACTCAAGGTAATGCAAGTGCGTTTTTTTGGAATTAGCCCATACTTTACGTGGTTACATATCTTGATAGTATTTTCATTTGCCAATTTAAGTCCTTCAGTTCAATTTCCATTCAATATCTGCTCGAAATTGCCGAGTTGGTACCGAGTTATCGACGCGTGGCTCGTACATGTACAAACCTCTAAAGCAAATTACACTTTTTGGTCCCCATACTACATGGAAATGATCTATCTTTGCTTCGACTTTCTTTTAGTGACAAAAACTAAGCCCTATATTACTTTTCAACGACAATGTAATTATTTGCATCACATTTCTATCCAAAAATCTTACGAAAATGTCAAATCAAGACCAATTAATAAGTGAATGATACCTAGATTTCCGAATCTAACCATACCAACAAAATAGGGTAACTTAAATATGGAATTGTTTTGTACTTAGTTGCGCAGAGAATCGAACCAGCATCGTGTGTTTTAATCCACACACCAATCCGTGAACTTTAAATACAATGGGTACAAGACAGGTCCTTCTGATCATCAAATATATACAGTGACAGTATACACAAGACTATGTACTCTGTTGCATCAGAAGGTCCTTGGTGATGGATGAACCCGCCTACAACACTCCGGGAAGCCCACGAGTATCCGCCCCCCAGTAAACAGCACTATGCGACACACACTTTATGAAAGCTCATCGATATCCTGCAGGCAAAGCGTAATTAAGTATATTGGGGAGCAAAGTTCAAGCTTAGAAGACAGGATATGTTTCGTTGTAAGGTAATGCTTTTGGGTTCCCGATTAGGCACCAAATGATCAAATTCGTCCTATGTTCTACAGTACAGGAAATTACATTCATATGAAAAGCAGGAGAAAAAGTTACAGAAAGTTCCAAACCTGCTGGGAATAATCACTGTTTTCTATTTGTCAATTGATTAGCACCTTCCTGACATGGAGCAATGTAGAATTGAGAAAACTTAAAATGGTGTCTATGATGAAGACGGTAATAACAAAGTTATACTCTGACCGAACTAGCTGTTTTTGTGGAGAGTGTTGGAGTGGCTCCTTGAGGTTCCTGAATGCACGAGCTAAGTACCGGTTATCACCTCCTGCCACACCATTTTATAAAACAAGTAAAGCCTTCTTATTATGTTAGAAGTGTGCTTTAAGGAAAGATCTTAGTGGGAGGGGCATGTTTTGGGCCAGTTTCCAGATTTTAGTAAAGAGAATTTGTTTTTACCTGGGCATTGGAAATGTGAGAGTGATCGGGAGATGGGGTGGTGGCGCCACCTAATAATGAGCCATTCTGTATATTCTCAGCGAAATCTCTCAATCTGTTAAGCTCTGGCAAAATCACCGTGCCAAGATCAGGCCGATCCTTTCGTCTTAACTCTGCACACTGCAGAGCTAGCTGTGCTATGCACAAGGCCTCCTCAACAGGCCAATTAGGCACGTCAGGGTCTAATATCTCCGAAAAGTTCCCGTTTTCTATAAATGTGCTGACGTGATGAGTGATACCCATCGGTGGTTTTGCCGTGATTAATTGTAGAAGCACGATTCCGAGAGAATATACATCAGATTTTACGGCAAGCATTCCAGTTTGTTGATATTCAGGATCGATATAGCAGAAGGTTCCTGCAGTCGACGTCATTCGGTACTGAGTCACGTTTTCAGCAACAGAAGGAGGAACTAGCCTTGCCAATCCAACATCGCTGATCTTGCTGACGTAGTTGTTACTGAGCAAAATGTTGCCCGGTTTTAGGTCTCGATGGACTAGAGGCTCTGGTTTTGTCTGATGGAGAAACATAAGGCCTGTGGCTACCTCTGCAGCAATTTGGAATCGAAGTTGCCAAGAAAGAACTGGAGATTTGCCTCGCCTGAAAAGACGGTCATCTAAGCTTCCGTTGGCCATGAACTCGTACACAAGACACCCGTGCTCAGGGCAGGCTCCTAAGAGGAGAACCATGTTGGGATGCCTTATGCGGCTAAGTACTTCCACCTGCATCATCATGGTCAATGGACAGATTAAATATGATTATGTGATTTAAGTCACTGCAATTTTGCTTCCTCTTTTCAAGAAAATAATTGTGAAAAAGAAAAATCTCTTGAATAATTGTGCCTCACTAGTGAAAGAATGGGAAGAATCCTGAATTGCATACCCTATTCTTCATCCCCAGTGACTTAGATAGATTCATTGGCGGTATTCAATTTCTATAAGGTCTAATTCAACTTGTTTGTGGCAGGACATATATGCAAATAATGAATTTTTGAGGTATCTCAATCATGTTTCAGCTGTAATTAAACAGAAGTTAGATGTCCAACGTTTGCTTCGACTGCCATTTACTTAGCGGCACTTCCATGACGTTCTCAGTTCCTCAATTGATGATAAACAGTGACATTTGTGAGCTACAAAGTCAGCAAGAAAGTCTGCTGTGCAAGGCTTCAGAAAACGTTTCAATTCTTTTCTCTCACCTCTTGCTGAAACTGTGATTTTCCATGAGCTGCATCTGGACGTAAAACTTTAACTGCGACTGGTGTATGATCAAGGTAACACTTGAAGACTGGCCCATAACCTCCCTCCCCAATCTTGTAGGACTCATCAAAGGAATTTGTCGCAGCCTCAATCTCTTCGATGGTGTACATCCTACATCTTGCATGACTGTGATTTAATGAATCCAAGACCTTCTTCATCTCTTCTGCATCTTTGAGGGCTTTCATTTCCACATTGGCTCTCCTCAGCGCTTCCAATTCTGCTATCTTCTGTGATGCGTCGCCTGCTTCAATGGCTGCTTTGCATTTAGCTCTCTCCTTTTCTACAATTGAGAATGCAGCTTCCTGAGCAAATCGTGCCTCTTCAAGACGTCGCTCTTCTTCCAGTCTCCAGCAATGCATCTCCATTTCCTGAAGTTAGTTCGGTTTAAGCAAGAACCCTATTTTCACATGAAATACTTACTTCTCTTCTCAGTACCTTCTGTTTTGCTGTGAGTGCTTCTTTGCATGCTGTACCATACAGTTCCATTGTTTGCTTAAGTTCTAACTTCAGCCTCCTCATTTCAGCTTCGACTTCATCCTGCATGATTTTAACATGGAAAAAAAGGTTGAAAGTCATGATGTAAGAATTTCACTTGTAGTACGATGATTATCTTTCATGGAAACATGCCATTACTTTGATAGATCTGGGTTTTTCAAGAAACCATAAAACCGTGACAGAATATATATATATACCTGTGGAGAACAGACATTATTCTAATCATCTTTTACTCGGCTATGGGCAACTAACACTTGCCATTTGTTTACCTTGTGTGAATGCAATTTGAGATTTGGTCATTGAATTCTCTTGCCTTGTTTTATACTATTAATAATTGCATGCTGAACACATACACACCAATGTGAATGGCCTTCTAATATAAGGCACTTCCTTGTTCACAATAGAAGATGATTCTTGTTCGGCCTAATTAACAGTTATGACTGTTTCTGCAACTGAAGAGCACAGGAAAATTGCCTATTACGTCAAAAACTAGTTTGAGATATGCACGAAAGGAACCAAGATATGATATCTCAATTTCCTATGCTTTAAACTTTTTGGAATAATATATCCGAAAGAAGACTGCGTACTCATCATGCTGATAACTCTTGAACCCATCTCAGGGTAGGTGGACATCTCTTTACTTAGTCGTATTAGATAAAATTACTTCCAACTTGTCATGGAAAAGCATTTAATTACCCTGTATTATGGAAGATGCTTGTAAGTCTGAGAATGAGAAAAGATTACCATGTTATGTGATGTACTTGATGTCCGTCCACTGTCATATGAAGCTGATGAAAATTCATGCAGAGAATTGAGGTCGGCGAACTTGTGCAGTGAATGAACAGAGAACCTATCAGGACTGGTGGAAAGCCTTGGACTATGGTCATAGAACATGGAAGACGAGCATTCTGTACTTGGCCTTCCCGAGCTGACAAATGATATGTCAGAATCCGGTTCTGACATTATTCCCGCTACATATCCAGTTGACCTTCCTCTATCCCATGTTGACCTGTTTCATTATCGCTTGCCAAGTGAGTGCACATTCGAAGAAACTGAAGCTGTGACAATTGCAGGGACAATGCTCAACCAATCCTCTGCCTCTCGTCTCTCATCATTACTACCCCTAATCATATTCATGCATGCGCATCCAAAATAGTCAAGAATATATATATATATATATATATATATATATATCATGCTTCTAACTAATCATTTTTCTTCTTTGAACTGCACTTGCTTAGGATATATATTGTCTACAACCCCATATTCCTTGGAGTAGTTCGATCTTTCTCGCTGGCATTAAATAAAGATTTAATATTTTTGAAACTTACTTGATGGACTGGTGTTGCCTGCTGAGAGGTCTAGGTAGGGGTCTTTCTGCAGCCATTAGAACACTTCAACAGTTTAACATTCTTGTAACGCTGAAGCATATCTGAAGTGATCGGGGAGAGAAATGAACCTCTTAAACTGTTCTGCAAGTGGTTTTCAGAACCGGCTGTTTTCTCTTTGTGGGTCTGTATTTGATCAAGAAGAGGGGAGGCATGAGGGGCTGGACGAGAAGCTCGCTGCACAGAAGAGACCTTTCCCTTGGAGATGACATAAACGGTGCAGAAATCCGGTACCCCTTTTGAGACGCTGCTTGGGATATGAGAAGACTTTAATCTGTTGTAAAAAATCACCAATTTAGGTAGATCTACACAAACTCTAGTGTTTGTAGCATGTATGCTGTGGATGATGTGCAAATCTCATTCTCTTGTTCCTATATATTACAATCTTTCATAGAGGAAGGTTGTGTATCACTGTGTGAAGCACCCATTTCTTCCTTGAGTATTTTTTGAGTCGTGAGGAGTTGGTGTCACAAACACTTCCTGAATGTTGTTTGTACGAGTGGACTTGCCATCTCTGTTTGGTAAATCCAATACTTAAATAAAAGGTCAAATACCTCAATTAGTTTATATGCGAGTGTTAGTCTTGCTATATGAGTTTATAAGTGAAACTATTCGCAGAGCTTAAGAAAAGTATGTACGTTTGCTTTTAAAAAAGTAAGAAAGGAGACAAAGCAAGACATGACCTGCAAAATTTCTATTTGAAACAAGTGGAGGTTGTTACCTGATGAAGCCATGCCGCGATGAAGCACCAAGAACCAAGGATTCAATTGCAGCATAAGAGACATAGTCAGTAAGTGCTCTGACCACGTCTGTGTCTTCCAGTACAACATCTAGGCTATGTATCTGATTCAAGTAACTAAATCTGTAAATAATCAGAAAGAAAGGGAGGAATGTGGAAACTGAATTCTACATATACGTTGAAGGAGTGAAACAACACTATATGAAAGATGGTGGAAAAACATAAGGATTTTGTTAGAAATTGTCCACAAAAAAGTACTCGTTGAGAATCCAACTAAAATTTTTTTAATTTCCAAACAACTAACTTTTTGGGGTAATGGGCGTAACTAGTGCCTTGAAATTGAAACTTTCCTTGTCAGGCAAGCATAGCAAGTCCTTAAGGGGCACTTGTCAACATGATCTGAAATATTGATAATTGAAAGGACATTGAGCTTTTTGACTTACATCTTTTCGAGTGCAATAACAATGGAAGGTGAGAAACAGGTCCTTGGTTGGCTTGTCAAGGTTCTGCTTCTGTTGGGGGGATGAAACTACATGAGCAATGTCGGAAGTGGAATGGTGATGGTGACGATGATGTTGGTGGTGGTGGTGGTGGCGGCGGTGGTGATGTTGGTCTGCGACTGCAACCAATCAAAAAGAGAAATAGTCAAGTCACATGTATGGCTTCTTCACTTTTTGGAATCTGCAGGGTGATACATAACATCACATTGCTAGCATTTCATGTAATAGTTTGCTTTGCTCGGTCAAATTCCTCGTGTTTGCCTATCTGGATATGATGTACCGTGATGATGAGCTTATGAAGTATTTGCGACGGGCTGGAAACCGAGGATGCGAAGCGTGTTCAAGACTGAAACATGATCTTGATCTCTATGTATATATAGGTCATGAAGGAAATAGATGCGAATGAAAATAATATACATACGAGAGGAGTCGCCATGAACATGAATGAGGATGACAGTTTGGCCCCTGGAGAGGAGATTATCGCCAGCCCATCGGATGGCACATTGGCTGCCTTTGTCCTTGTCGACGGCAACGGCGACTAATCCGTTCCTGGCACTGGTTCTCTTCTCCACATGACTCTTTCCGACCCACATTCTTTCTTCTCTGTGACAAGAGCTCAATGCTTCTTTCCTTTTGCTTTTTGGTTGTAGGAAACAATAACTGCGGAAATGTGTTTGACCAAAGCTTCTGAACAATATAATCTGGTGGTTCTCTCTTCTACAAGTGAAAAACATTCAGTAGCTGTTTTGTTCCTCCCATATCAGTGAAGAATTTGTACCAGACGTTAATGTGGCTAAAAATAGGGGAGAAAATAAAGATGAGACTCCCCTCTAATCTCTCACCCTCTCTCTCTCTCTCTCAGATATCTTAAATTGAGGAGGACCTTTCCTGTTTTGAAGCTAGTCAAACCAAATGCCAATGAGAGAAAACTTAATCACTAAGTTGGTTCATCAGGATAAGAATATACAATATTGTGTATGTGTGCAAGTTAATGGATCTAAGAACAGTTATTTAGCCGTCCTGCTATCTTAATCGACAACACCCTTTGTACTTCTAGGTTAGCACATAATGCAGCACCTTAACTCAATTTCTGGATTATCCCGCATCGCCAGTTCCGCTTACAGAAAATGACCCAGTTGGAGCTCACGATTCCATTGACGTGGCTCGACAAATCAGCCGCACCGTCCAACATATTATACAGATCAAATGGGCTACATTTGCATATGATAAATCGAAGAATTGTCTTGCCTCGTGTATCGTCAAGAGGGCAATGAAATCAAAATGAACAAATTTCCGCGAAATATAGTCTCAGTCCCTGTTTTAATGAAAGGGGAAAATGACGCAATTTTTACTCAACACCAGAAGAAAAAGGAATAGAAAAAGTATAAATGCACCAATGCGCCCCATAAAGTGTAGATAGAACGTGTAAAAACTTGTATTTGATCATTTACATTATTTCAAATAATAGTTTATATTACATTACAATGAACTATGGATACACCGTCATCATAGCTTGGATCTTCTGCTCTAGGATCGCAAGTCCTTCGGATCTATCATACCAGAAAAACCACATACATGGGTTTTGAATTCTGTTATGCTGATGAAATCTACGTTTCCTCAATAAGGAAGCTGTGCTGGTATGCCTTGTTTCTTCAAAGGCCTTTTGACGGTAAAGGAACCCGCCTACGATACTCCGCGAGAGCCCACAATGGGTATATGTTCCTGTAAGCGGCATAGTGTAACATGCAGTTCTTCATGAAAACCCCGGTGATTTCCTGCAATGCAAAATTATTGACTATTAACAATAATGGCAAGCATAGTTCATGCTTCGATCATGTTGTTTTGTTGTACAGCAATTCTTAACGATTGAGTTCTCTCTCTCTAGTTCAGTTTTTTATTATTTGAACCAGTTCCCGACGTTGTTTCGAGTAATTAAACAAACTGTCTGTAAGATAATATGCGTGGAAAAATCATCTCTGGGTTCTACTAGTTGTATGGATTGGTTCTTTCCAAGGATATTGGCGGCTCTCACTCTTTTATTTCCTGAGATATTAACCTTATATGAGATCAAGTCATAGAAAGGTACAAACCTGTTGGGGATAATCACCGTCTTCCATTTGTGAATTGATAAGCAGCTTTGCGGCACGGTGCAGGGGAGTCGGATCCCTCTCCGCCTGATAGTAGACGAAGGACCAAAGTCAGAAACATCACATAGTATATTGATTTTTACTATCACCAAAGTATGGTTAATGTGATGGAGACCCAAACGACTATATCATCCACTGACCTGCCCCGCGTGAATTAGACCCATCATAGCCCAAGCAGTGTGCACCAAATTTGATCTGTTTCCTTCAAGCGGTACGTATTCCTACATTGACCGATTTGACCATTAGAAAATTCAAGATTTTCCATGTTGCCAGAAAAGAATGCAACAAATACAGCTAAAGCCGAACATGCTGTAGAAGGTCCATCTAGAAATTACCTTCTTTGGGCAAGAAAGATAGCTCTCTCCCCACCCGCCATCCTGCAACTGTGTTTGTAGAAGAAAAGCGACTCCTTTGCGCATAGCTGCACAATTGCTGTACGTCTTGCCTGCAGCTGCTAGTCCTCCAAGAGCAAACCATGAGCCGTATGTAAAACAGACTCCCCAGTTCCCATACCTGCAAAAATTGCTCAATTAGTTAGTTGTTTCCTTAATTTATCCGAAATATTCAGAAATACCTAATGGAAAATGAACATACCACGAGCCATCTAGATTTTGTATATTCTCCAGATACGGTACGGCATTTAATATGAAATTCTCAATCTCCTTCTTCCTGTGCCCGGGATACAACTTCCGGAACAAAACTAAAGCATGGATAGCTGAGGATGTGCATTCAACATATTCATGCTCAACGACGATGTCCGCAAAGAACTCTGTCGGATTTAGGAGCTGCAAGCGACAAATGATGAGAAATAATGTCCTCATTTAGTAATGTATTGACAAAGAAACATGTCTTGGTCTGTCCAGGAATTCCTACAAATTTATTATATACTTACTTCTAGCCATTCCTGGGCTCCTGCAGGTTCCCATGCTGCCAATCCGCCATTTTTACTCTGGAACAAGTGACATTAATGGTTGATGTGATGATACTATAATATATAATCATACTTGGGAATCTGAAAAAAGTTACGAAACTCAAAGAAAGACTTAAATAGCAACATGAATTTGGGATGCATGGAGCATACAGAGTTTAGCCAATATTTCTTATATAGCTCAAATATTTTCTCAAGTCTTGCTCAGGAAAGAAAAAAAATGGTGTACTCACTTGTAGAGAAAGTAAGACATTGACAGCATCGTACAATCTTTCTGGCTCCATCTTCTCACCAACAATTTCAGGTGGCATCATTGAGAAAAGCAAGCAACACTGAATACACCGGAGAAGAGATTCGGTGAGAAACTGAGCAATTTAAGAATGGATTGAACCTGTGGATGCAGTGTAGGTATTCACAGCGGTATTACCTTCAGACCCTCTGCAGTGCAATCAGAGACTTGCCAGCCATGATCTTGATCCGAAAATGTCCAAGATCCTTTAGAAATATGACGGTGCATGCTTTTGAAATCACCAGAAGGATTGTCCTTGACCTGGAATGTTGTTGACAGATCGATGCAGTTCAGCTTATGGGAGGAAGCAAAAGAAACTAGGAAAAGGTTTGGAGGTAAGCAGATGCTCGCAAGAATAAAAAATCAAACCTGAGATTTTTTAATGAAGTCGTGTCCTCTAGCTAGTACTGGTGCTAACTCCTCAGTCATATTACTGGCAAGCAAAGCTTGGATGGCGAAGCCCGTATCCCACTCTTGGCTACCAAAACTCTGCGTATGAATGAGCCAAACACCATACTAAGCTTTCCTCTAGATGGTCTCACTTTACTAAATCAATCTTATCATTATGACAATACTTCCATCTTTCAAACATGCAGATAAGTATTTATCAGTTCAAATTTGAGCCCAATTCTGTTATAGTTCGGTGACACTACTACTAACCTGCATCTTCATTCCGTCTTCAGCCACCCAAAGGTAATCCGGAATCCTAGCAAGATGCTTCTTGAAATAGTCACCTTCTGGGTCTTCTACCCAGCAAGCAAGCATGCATAACACCTGTCCAGGTCCAAAGCAAAAATATATATTCTCAGTGTTGTTTCCCATGATGTGTAAATTTTGGGATTTATGTATTTCTCTCTCCTGTTTAAATGTATGTATTCATTACCTTTTCTACACATCCAATTGTGATATATCGACTGTTCTCATCTTCGTAGTGAATGTGCTTCATCGTCACTTGAAGAGCCTTTTCTCTAAGTTTATTAAATGGCCAACGGTTGAGAAAAGGCTCTGTGAATATGTAAAGACTGTCCCACATCAGATCCTGTACTAAAGGATGGGGATAGTAGAGATCCTCCTGCAGCAACAATTCCAATCATTCCATTAAAAATTTGCTTACTTGCAAACTATCTGATTCTGAATCCATATTTTGGACCAGCTAGTGATACTTGCCTTGGCACAAAGATGGCGGACTTTTCTCCAGCAAATTGTGTCGTAGGGTTGAGTATGAAGTTCTTCTCTCAACTGTTGAACAAGAGGCGTGATCGGGCCGACGAATTTTTTCCCATACAAGTATGACATGGGCATGTAGACCATCCGACAGTAGCACCACATTTTAGCTACATCATTCAATATGGGACAATTCAGTCAACAGATCCATGAAACGAAGGAGAAACGCAATTACACAAAACAGAAGTTGAAACTTTCTATCTTTCAAGAGGAATTCTTGAAAAGTGGCGACTTCATTAAAAAGCCAATGCCATATTCTTGTTGGTGCAGCAAAAATTCCACACGGTTCCAACGTGAAAATTAGTCCAACAAATTTGTCTTAATACCTGTGTGAAATTATATGTACAGGACTACTATAGAATACCATCAAGGACAAGACCAAGAAAATCTGGGAAAACAAACCTGGATACATGGGGAGGAATGAAGGCAAGATCCAGAACTCGGGGGGCATTGGGTTGCTTCCAGACCAATCGAAAACGCCGAGAATCTACAGAGCGTGCATGATAAAACAACACACAAGCACAAGCACAATGTCACACAAATGATTCCCTCAAACACAGAAAAATTCTTGAGAACTTTTTATTGACGATTAATGAAGGAAAAGTGAGAAAGTACCGAGAGCCAAGTCTTGCCCCAGGAGGGTATGTAGGTGACCCCGCCATGGTCATGAATCCACTTCCTGGCCCGAGTACAAGCATTATCCAGGCCACCATCAGGCCCTTCCCCAAGTATGCGCATGCATATGTAGCTCAGGACGGTGCAGAACATGGTGCTGTGACCTTCAATGTGCAAGCCCCACCCACCGTCTTCATTCTGCAACAAAATTAATGCAAGACATAAACAGAGAGTTTCAAGTCGAAGTGTTTCGAAGTTCCTCTGCTATTTCTCCATCCGGGTGTCCTTTTTGCGAGAAAAGCGTACCTGGTGGTTGTAGACGTAGCGGAGAATCTCTTTGCGGTGCTCAGCGGGGAAGACGGTGTCGAGGTGGCCGGTGATGTAGACGCACATGACCAGGGGAGGGAGGAAGAAGAGAGGACCGGCATTCTCGGCGGGCCAGTGGCCGTCGCTGGCCTGCAGGGCGGAGAAGAAGTGGACGGCCCGGCTCAGCGCGGTGGACGCCTTGTCGTAGGTGATCTCCTCGCCATCCTCCACCCTCACCGGCGGGATCGTCTGCTCGAACTGCTTCTCCCTCAGGAACTGCCCAGAAATCATGCACCATACGTCAGCTTAAGATTGCCCCTCGCTTGGTATTACCACACGTTAACAAGTTCTTAACTATACGACAAGCAACAAGGGTAAATGCTGTACTAAACAATGCGCGAGTGGGGCGATATTCCAATGGGTGTTTGAGAGCGCGTGTTTTTCTCATTTTCAAAACGCGATTAAAACACAAAGAGGAAACGACATAGCCATGGTGGTCGGGCGTGCGGTGGCCGGGCGAAGGTTGGGTTGAATTTTTTGACCCGAGATAGATGTCTGGCTGCTACTTGTCTCTCCTCGCTGACCTCCCTCCAAAAGTTCAAACCTCCCTTTTCAATCCGTGTGGACCAACCTCGTATCCTTCACACCCATTATTCAAGCCCACCACGACAGCCTCAGCAGCATCGACATATATAATATATATCGCACGTGTTTCAATTCTTGTTCGAAACGTGGCCATGGATCTTCTCCCTCA